CGGCCGCGCTGCGGCGGAACCGGCGGGGACCGCGCGGGGCGGGGGATGGGGGACCAGGCTGCGGCCGCGCTTGGGGAAGGGGCGCCGCCTGTGCTCACCTCCTCTCGGGCGGGGCCCTCGTCCGCCGCCGCCGCCGTGGGCTCCTCCGGGACCCCGGGGCCGCCACCTCCGCCGCCGCCGCCGGCGCTCTCTCCCGCGGCCGAGCCAGGGGGGGACATGGCGTAGAGGGGGTGCGTCGAGCTCAGGGCTTCCCGGGGGGCTGCCGGGGGCCGAGGGCATCCTGCGCGGGCCCTGGGGAGGGGGCGGGAGGGGGCGGGGCCCTCGCTGCTCCCCACCCCCCGCCAGGGGGGAGGGGGCCTGGAAAGGGCACCGGGGGTAGGGGGCTAGGGGCTGGGGGTGGGGAGGCGGGCTGGGGGGCCGGGCCGGGGGGGCCGGGGCCGGGGGCGGGTGTCACCTTGAGGCCCTCGCGGCGCCGCTCCGCCTCCCGCCCGCTCCCGCCGCCGCCTTTTGTCTGAGCCGAGCTGGAGCCAGCGCGCCCCCCCTCTTCCTCCCAGCTCAAGAGCCCCGCCCCCGGCCCCCCAAACTCCGCCTTCCCCAAGCCTACCTAATAGCCACCCCCCAAAGAGAAGAAGCAACAGGGGCTCCCCGCACCCCTTCCCCACTCCCAGCCTTGCTCACCGCACCACCACCACCCCCCATCCTGGCAAGATCTGTGCCGCAACTCCTACTGTCCCTTCTCCGTGGAGGGGGCACCAGTGGTTCAGCCAACATCCCTCCCCATCGTTGGTTCCCGCAAGTTCCTGGGGCCGAGGGTGGGGGAAAGTAAATTGAGCCGTGGAACCCTAGGGAAGATCTTTATTTCCAGTTGGGTGGTAACGGGTTAAGGCGGGAGCCAGCCTTCCGAGGCCAGATCCAAGGGCGCAGAGATGGAATCGCGTGAAAGAGAAAGGACTGGAGCTAGATGTGAGAAAGGACTAACAGAGGGCAGAGGGGAGGACATGGGAACCAGCCTTCACAGAGCCATTTTCCTTCCCTAGAGGAACAGCCCCAGAGAAGCAATGAAGTGTGTGCCTTGCCCTAGGCTGGAGAACAGGAAACCTAAATTCCAGTTCTTAATCCTGGCTCTGCCATTAAGCGGTTGTGTGACCTTGGGCAAGTGCCTTCCCCTCTAAGCCTTAGTTTCCTCATCTGTGCACTGAAGAATTTACCTGGACCCTCTCTAAGGCTCTGCCCTTCTTCTGTGGGTGTGGGAGGCAAAATCACAGACCGCAGGCCAGGCTGAGTGACTACAAGTAGCCTACCCCTTCCTGCCATCCACCCACACTGCTTTTCCCTTGTACTGCCTGGGTCAGGCAGAAAGAAAACTGACATGCATTCATTATTTCCTGGATGGATCCATTCAATAAACAGGCATTAGGTACCTACTGTGTACTCTGTTCAGAAATGAAACATACGATATTCTACCCTCAAAGAGCACAAAGTCTAATGGGGAGGGGGACCAATCATTGTGATAAAATAGTATAAATGGTATGCATATTCAATCCATGTGTGCACCCTGTGGAATCCTGCTGTGTGCCCAGTGCTACATTAGAGTCTTTGACGTATAGTAATTGGTCCCCTATTTGCCCACTAGGAACCAAAGTATAAGAAGTGTGAGTGATTTATTTAAGGTCACAAGCTAGTACTCACAGAGCTAGTCCTAGAATCCAGACCTTTCCCATTACAAAGGCCATGGGGATATCTGTGGGTAGGAAGTTAGCTTAAGGCAAAGTTTTGGATAATCCAGTCTTTGGGACAGGGGGCGAGCGCACTGATCTGCTGGGATGGCCACCTGAGGCAGAAGAGCCACTACCTCTCTCCCACCCGCCCCCAACAAACCCAATCCTGGTCCTGCCTCCATTTGCCTATTCTCCTCTTTCCAGGCAAAGTGAAGGTCGCTGGCTGACTGCCTACTGCTTCCAAACTATCCAGCCTGAGGTTCCTCCACTCCATGGGTGGGTCATTCCATCCTCCAGACCCAAACAGAGAAAGGGTGGGGTCCTGAAGAGGCTGGCTTCTCCCTCATTCTCATGGCAGAGGAAGACTCTCACTTGGGGGCTCACTCCAGTGCCTCCCACCCATATTTTGTGGGAAACTCTACCTCACATCTAACTCCAACCCCTCTTCTGGTCTCAGCCTGTTCCACCTAGTTCAGTCCTCACTGCAGACAAAGTGCAGAGTCCCCAGCCTGACCCTTTCCTAACTCAGATAGGAGGCTCCCACTCCCCATTTAGTTGTTGTAATCTTGCTCCTGTTTCCCACTCCTTTTGGCCAACCCCAGAGCTCCCAAGAGATAAAGGACCCCTGACAACTAACCCCCGCTTCTCCATTCACACACATTACTCTTCCTTGCAGCTCAGGGGAAAGAGGGGTGAAGGGAGGGGGCAAGGAAGGAGCCAGCTGACCAGCTGGTCACCATGGCAACGGGGCCTGCTTCTTGAAGAAGGAGCCTGGCTGGGGTGGGTGGAAGCTGGGAGTGGGGGCACTAGAAAGGGAACCAGAAAAAAACAGCAGAGAGAAAAGAGGACTGGTGGGGCAGAGGAAGCGAAGTCAGGGCCCTGACCATGCTGAGGCCCGAGTCAGAGTCCCCAAGTCATCTTTCGAAATGGCACTGCATGATCCCTCTCCCCATTCTGAAGTGTCCCCTGAAGGGCTTCCTGTCAAAATACCGGCAAGGTGCTGGAAGCCATCAGTGACTCAATGCTGACCTCATGTGGCCAGAAAAGGGGCTGGTACACACCTGTTAAGGTTCCAAGTGAGACTCCAGACTGAATTGGGATAGGTTTTTCCTTAAATTCAGCCTCTATCTGAAGGCAAGTGTGGTTCACTGCATACTCCTGCATTCTTGTGTCCTTCGGTGGGTTCAGATGCCCCAACTCCTTAGACCTTTATAAAGGAAACAAAGTTTCAGTGAAAATGTTTTTCAAAGTTTTGGATTAGGGACAGGAGAACCTGGCCCCCGTTCTTCCTAACTGTTGGATCTTGGGCAGGTTCAGTTCTCCTCTCTGGGTTTCAGCTTCCCAACTTTAAGATGGGGATGTGATAATGCCTGATCTGAGCCCAAGTAGTCTGGGTCTAGAGTTCCCGGCTGTATTTTTGCTCTAGACTTTGAGGATGAGAGAGGAACATGTCAGGGGAGGAAGTTGAAAACCTCTGAAGTCACACTGACCTCAAGGGAAGGAGATGCTTCAGTTTCCTTGGGCTTTCCCCTCATGGCTTCTCACTGCCTCATGCTCAACCATATTCTCCACTCTGGTTCTCCACAGGGATGAAGAGCAGTGGGCCATCTCCTCCTGGCTGCCCACGATGCTTCTCTCTTGATTCACGCCTCCAAGCACACACACTGGGTACCTCTCTTCTCTCCAGTCCCTTTCCTTCCCCACACTCCACTGGGCAGTCGACCCGCTTTGTGCCCCCAGGGCACCCTATTCTCACTCCTGTCTTTGCGTAAGCACTCTGTATTATAATTGCTGGGAGATTTTTGAAGGCTGGGACCATGGGACATTTTTGAGTGGAGGTGGGGTTAGTGGTTGTTGGTTATTACTGTTACTGTGATACTTAGTTTTGCTTCCAGCAGAAAGACCAATGTCAGACATACAGGAAAAGCCCTATATGTATTTGTCAAATGAAGGAATAAAATGAGGTTACATGGAGGAGGGCAGTAGGAAAGCTGGTTCATAGCTGTCTGCACTCACTCCAGCTTCCTTACCCCAATGCCAGAGTTGGAAAAAGGAGATGTTCCCTTAGGGATGATATTCTAAGGGCATTGCTGCCTCTGGGTTGATGGCACTTGAGGTAGGGGATGAATCACGGGGCACGGATTGGGGCTTACCATATGGGTGGAGTTTGCTGACAACCTCCCTAGGCCCTTTAGGCCCAGGGAAAGCAGGGACAGGGAAGGAGGGAAGATGTGCTGGCATTGGGGCTGTGGCTGTGGTGGGGACCTCAGGAGAACATGGCCCAGCATGTCTGGGGCCTCCCCATTCTGGCCCCACCATGAGGAACTAAACTTCCCTGATCACTCGGGGTAACCAGATGTCGTAACCGCCCAGAGCCAGTGTTTCATCCCTGTGAAGAATGACCATTCTGCTTTTTTAGACAACAAAAAATATGACCTGCATATCTGCATTTTTTTAAGATAACAGCTTGCCTGAGAAAACCCACTTTCAAAAAACCAAAAATGAACAAAAAAACTGTCCTTGTGCCCAATTCTATGTGATCTAGGAAGTTGACTCAGGAGACCCTCTATCCAGGATCCAAAGACAGAACTGCTCCTTTAAAGACAATAGGTATCCCCTTTCTTTCCCTACCCAAACTCCTGGGCACTGATAGAGAAGGAAGCCACAGAAATTGAGAGAAATGGGTAGGAGATAGGAAGCAGTGCTCTCCTTGCAAGTTGCGTAGCCTGTGCAGACGATTAATAAATATTTCTTTAAAAGTAAATGAAAAGAGGGGCTCCTGTGTGGCTCAGTCGGTTAAGCAGTTATCTTCAGCTCAGGCCATTGATCCTGGGTTCCTGGAATCAACCCCCAAGGAGGGCTCCCTGCTGGGTGGGGAGCCTGGTTCTCCCCTCCCCCTGCTTGTGTATGCTCTCTCTGTCACAGAAATAAATAAAAATATTTAAAAAAACAACAACTACAAATGAATGAATGAATGGAAAAAATGGAAGAAAGGAAGGAAGAAAAGAAAATGCATGGAATTAATGAAAAAAAGGAAGGGAAAATATGGATGGATGGATGTATGGATGAATGAGTGGGTGAATGAATGAGTGAATGGGTGAATGAATGAATGAATGAATGAGTGGGTGAATGAACGCTCGAGTGACTCAGGACCGGGTAACCCCTGACTCGAAGCCAACGCAGAGGGCGGGGTTAGGGGGATTCCGGAGGGAGGGGCCTCGGTCCGGAAGCGCCTGTCGGGGGCGGGGCCTGAGGGGCGGGGCGAGGGAGCGAGTCCGACTGGGCAGTCCAGCTACCCCGAGTAGCCGCTGCCGTGGAAACCTCCAGAGCTCCGATCCTCGCCCGCGCTTTTCGCCGACTCCTCGGGCTGCCGCAGCCCAGGAAGGAGGCCACTCCCGGCCGGGCGCTAGCTCTGCAAGGCGGACCTGCAACCCGGAAAGGCGGCGCGGCGGGGCCCGGAGCCGGATCCTGCTCGGACCTGGCCCCCGCGGGCCGGGACCGCTGGCATGTCGGAGGCGCGGAAGGGGCCGGACGAGACAGATGAGAGCCAGTATGACTCGGGCATCGAGTCTCTGCGCTCTCTGCGCTCCCTGCCCGAGCCCACCTCGGCCCCAGCCTCTGGGCCCTCGGATGGTCACGGCCCCCAGCCCGGGACTCATCCTCCGGGAACAGCCCAGGAGCCACAGGAGAAGGAAGATACAGATGGGGAGCGAGCTGACTCCACCTATGGTTCCTCGTCGCTCACCGAGCCCTTGCCCTTATTGGGGGGCACAGAGACCGAGAATCCAGCCCCACGCTCGCCGCTTCCCGCCGCGGGGGCGCTGAGCCCTCAGCAGCTGGAAGCCCTCACTTATATCTCCGAAGATGGAGACACGTGAGTATGGGGTCGAGGCTGAGACAGAGACCCCTTCCAATGGATGCTAACTGCTGGCCTGCCAGGATCTTCAGCAGGCCGGGAACCCAGTCTGTGAGGATCCCTCAAAACACCCGCGCTGGAAGGGGCAGTCCCCACTCTCTCTTCCAAACTCTAGACTTCACACTCAGCCCACTTTTGAGCTCTGGCCTGACCCGGACCAGAGGCCCTGGCATCATCTCTCTGCCCTCCCTTTGGGAGGTGGGCAGAGCTGACAGGGCCCTTGCCAGACACCTGGAACCCCAGCTAGCAGCCCGGAAAGCTACTAATAGCCCACCCCCTGGAAGGGAAAATTCCCCTGACCAGTCAAAGTGCTTTTTTTTTTTTTCCCCTTGCTGGGGGAGAGCACATCTTTGTTTGCTCAAATCTGGGATTCCCAGCCCCCGACCTCATAGTACCCTGTCTCAAGGAACAAAAGGTGCCAGTTACAGGTTGCCAGTGGGGGTCAGGGAGCTAAGGATGGGGGTACGGCCAGGGAGCAGAGCTAAGGCTAGCTCTGAGGAAGAGGGGGTGACCCAGGCTGGGGCACTCTTGCCCCAGCAGACAGACAGGCGGCTGGCTGCCCAGCTCACTTCCTTCTCTGCTGCAAAAGGGGAAGTGAGGGCTGGAGTCAGCTTTACTAACACCCTCCACCTCCTGAGCCCCCCAAGTCCTCCTCACTGTCCTGTCTGATCCCTTTACTTTACCCTTTCTCCCCCCAGGTCCAGGTGAAGTTTGGTGGGGACTGGGCTAGGGGGGCAGGCAGTTGAAATAAGAAGCATTTTGTGTGGGAGGGACTGGCCAGTTGAAGATTTGCCCCTTAGGAAGAAGAAACACTGTCAGGTGAGGGGGTGGCTGGGATTTGGGGGAGAGAAACAGAGTGGAGTGTGCCAGGGTCCCAGATCGGGGATGCTGAAATGAATCGGGGTCGGGAGGGTAGAAGAGGCCAGAGGTGTCTGTCTTGACCAGCTTTTTGGAGATGGGAGGGTCCTAATCTTGGGTGGCCTTTGACAAAGATAGTCTGTGGACCGGTGGGTGGGAGAGGAATGACCCCAGGCCTTTTTTGTAACCTGCCCAGATTACCAGCCCACAGGCCCAGAACCAAGATTTAGGGAGCTCCGTGTGGAATCCCTGACTGACCTTTGATCTAGGGATTGAAGACTTCCGATACTGCTGTCCTTTGTTAGCCTCTGGGTTGCAGCCTTAATCTAGTTAGAGACAGGTGTTGTGTCTAGACTGTGGTGGTGGGGGGGCAGAGAAGAGGAGTCAGGACTCCCCAGGAGGTTCCTAGGGAGGAGGGGGCGCTCTCTTCCCTTAGAGGTGTCTGGCCTGTGGGACTTATGGAAGTGGGATGAGGAAGTGGGAGGAGGGGAGACAGGGAGAGAGGGAGGTGGCTGCAGGAATGTGACCTAGAGAACAGGCCCTGGCCGAGGGGATTTCCAGCGCGGTTCCTCCCGCCCTCCCTCTGTCACTCTCTCTCCTGGGCCTCTCCTGCCACCAGCCACCAAGCTTGCCTCCCTCCCGCCTGAGCAGCCCCCTCCCCAGCCCAGATGTGCCTTTACCCAAACTACCCCTCAGGGCGGTTAATGCCCCAAGGCATCTGTCCTGGCCTAGACCCTCCAGCTCTGGCTTTCATTTTCCCCACCTGATGTGGGGAAACCCCAGGACTGGAACTTCCCCTCCCAGCTGCCCCCTCCCACCTTAGCAAGAGGCTCAGACTCTTAGGCCCCCAACGGACGCACATGTTCTGCACCGCACAGACCTCCCCTTGGAAGTGTAGGCAGAGTGGGGGATGGCCTCTGGTCAGGCCCCACCGGGTCTGTGCTGTCTGAAGACTGACCCTCTTGATTCCCCTGTAAATGGCAGCAGGACAGGCTGCCTCGCTGTCTCCTGCCTCCTCTTCCCAGAGCTTCTGTTTTCTCTCCCTTTCAGTGTATAACATTGAGTTGCTGAGAGTGGGGGTAACCCTGCTCCTGCCCTCTCAATCCTCCCTGTTGAGGTTGGCGGAGGTGGGGAGCTCAGCCCCGGAAACCACGTCTCTGCTATCTCGGCGGCTTTCCTTTTGGCTTCGAGCTGCAGCTGGCCTCACAGGGCCCTGGGACCAGAGGGGAGTGGGGTGCGGGCAGCCCAAACAGGAAGGACCTTGTCCCATCAGCACCCTGCCCATGCTCCCACTCTGCCGAGGCCCTCCTGAAGGCCAGAGATGGGAACTTGGAGCTCCCAGCCCCAGGATCCTGGCTTCCCATACCAACCCTCACTTCCTGGCCTAAACTCTCACTTCCTACACCCACCCTATGAGTGGCTCCTTAGAGATTGATGTGTTCTTCCTTCTAACCCCAGGACCTCAGGCCCCTAGCTCACTGTCTAGGGCCCCACGCCCTGACACTGAACCCTGTTCTTGCTGCCTCCCCCTCCCAGGCTGGTCCACCTAGCGGTGATTCACGAGGCCCCAGCTGTGCTGCTCTGTTGCCTGGCTTTGCTGCCCCGGGAGGTCCTGGACATTCAGAACAACCTTTACCAGGTAGGGGAGGGGAGAGGGTGGGCTGTCCCCGGATACCTATCCCTGCCCCATTCCTAGCAGCCACATCTGCACATTCTGGAAACCGTATGCGAGACACTGGGATAGAAGCTGATGATACAAACATGAGCAAGACACAGCCTTGGCCCATGAGGTGCTCGAGCATGGGCTAGGGGACTCATGTCCATACCTAACTGCAGAGCATGTGACAAGACTAATGATAGAGGCACATACCAGCTCCTGTGGGATCCAGTGTACATGGGGAGCAGCCAGGGGATGCTTAACATGGGAGTGGCATCTGTGTGGAGCCTTAGGAGTATGGCTCCTAAGGTAGAGGTTGCCTGGTACCTCTAGTCTTCCCTCCCTCTGACCTTTCCTTTTCCCTTGGCCCCTGGGGATAACAGAGGTCTCCCCAGAGGTGGAGGGGGTAGACCCTGCCCCCATCTGTCCTTTCTGCAGGGGCTAAGAGGACCTGCAAGAAAAGCGGGGGCCCACTTCCCTCACCCTGCCTGCAGACCTGGGGGGGGGGGTGTTTCCAAGAGCTGCCTTGGCAGTGACAGAGGGAAGGGTTTGGCAGCATTTCCTTGGAAAACCAGGGCCATAGCCTTTCTAAGCGGCCCTCAAAGTGTGGCAGCTGGTAATTCCTGGGTCCACCCTAGCATGTTGCCAGAGGGAGGAGCACATGCCAGTAGCCCTGGGCCCCTCTGTGCCTACAGACAGCACTCCATCTGGCTGTACACCTGGACCAGCCCGGCGCAGTTCGGGCCCTGGTCCTGAAGGGGGCTAGTCGCATGCTACAGGATCGACACGGTGACACAGCTCTGCACGTGGCTTGTCAGCGCCAACACCTGGCCTGTGCCCGCTGCCTGCTGGAGGGGCGGCCTGAGCCAGGCCAAGGACCACTGCACTCCCTGGACCTCCAGCTGCAAAACTGGCAAGGTATGGGCAGCCTCGGGGCCCATGGGATGAGAAGGGGGCAGGAGAGGGACTCCATTCTCAGGGACAGGATGCTTATGGCCTGTCCGTCAATGCACCTCCAGTTCCAAGCACATAGGTACTCCATACATCTTTGCTGAATGAATGAATGAATGAATTTGATTGAGAATTTACTGAGAACCTACTATGTGCAAAAGAGAGAGCTAAACCTTGCCCTCAAGCTATTTAGTTTAACAGAGATTAGATTAACTCATTAATTCACGTATCAAAAATGTACTGAGGGCCTTCTGTGTGCCAGACATTATTCCGGGAGTGAGACTTAATTTGTGAACAAAGCAGAGAATGATGGAGGCCGGCAGTAAGTCTAAGCAGGGAGTTCTCTAGCAGGTTAGCAAGCAGGAAGTCCTGAGGGAAAAGTAGAGCAGAGTGAGAACTAGAATGTGGGGGATGAGGGTAGGCGTGATTTTCAAAGAGGATGGCCAGGGAAACCCTCAAGGAGCAGGGACGTTTGAACAGACACTTTGAATCTAGTTCTGGCATCTGGGGAGGGGCTGGGGCCTGGGGATCCTGGAGAGCTCTAAAGATGGTGGTTTTGGGACAGGGCTTGAAGGCAGATAGAGTTCAGATAGAGTTTCAGAGAGGTGGGGGGTGGGGAGAGAGAGACTGGGGGCAGGGTATGCTTGTGGGGGTAGGGTGCGCGTGTATGTGGGGTGTTACTCAGCCACCTAACCCCTGAAGCATGAAAGTTTCAATAACATGACTTTGAAAAGGTGGAAACTTTGAGTTCCTTTCCCCTTAGACTTTTGAGGGGGTTTTTCAGGTTTGTGTTTGAACAGTCCTGTGCTCAGAGGCACTGAGTGGGCAGTAAGTCCCTTGGGGCTGAGGGGCAGGGAGGTCCCTGAAAGTGAGGGAAGGTGGGGGAGAGTTGGTGGATACAGATGAGTGACCCCCAGCCTCACCCCATCCCAGGTCTGGCCTGTCTCCACATCGCCACCCTGCAGAGGAACCGGCCTCTCATGGAACTGCTGCTTCAAAACGGAGCTGACATCGACACGCAGGTGAGGGGGGCCGGTCATGACCCAGCCCTGGGCCTGCCCCACCGCCTGATCAGGCCCTGGGGCCCCTGCCCAGCCATCAGGAGGGGTGGCACTTCTCATCTGGAGCCCCAGGGCCTGGCAGGATTCCTCTTGAGGTCCCATGGCTGACAGCCTTGTTCCCCTGCAGGAGGGCACGAGTGGAAAGACCGCGCTGCATCTGGCTGTGGAGACCCAGGAGCGGGGGCTGGTGCAGTTCCTGCTCCAGGCTGGTGCACGTGTAGATGCCCGCATGCTCAACGGCTGCACCCCTCTGCACCTCGCAGCTGGTCGGGGCCTCAGCAGCATCTCATCTGCTTTGTGTGAGGCCGGCGCCGACTCCCTGCTGCGGAACGTGGAGGACGAGACTCCCCAGGACCTGGCTGAGGATGTAAGAGGCTCAGGCTAGGCTCCGTCTCCAGGAGCTCCCACACCCATAGCAGAGCCAGGAGCTGTGACAGCTGAAAGGGCCGAGGAGTTGGGATTCTGGGGTGTAATCCACATCCGTGACTCTGTCACTCACCCTCTGTGGGACTTGGAGTGAGCCTCTGCCCCCGCCCTCTTAGTTGGTCAAGACCAGGGAGCTCAAACTTGGACTCTAACAGGAGCCCTGCAGTGGATCAGTGAGGCAGGCTAGGTATAAAACAGGGTGGTGAGGCCTGGGGGGGATCAGAGGCTCTGCCCTACTTGATTTCAGCTGATAGTCTCAGAGGAGGAATGTGTGCCAAGTACTTCCAGGTCTTGGAATTTTTCAAGAGAGGTGGAACCTAGATTTCCTGTACAGTCTTTCCCATTTAAAAATGTTCAGTGTAAAAAAGGATTCGGGGGCACCCGGGTTGCTCGGTCAGTAGAACGTGTGACTCTTGATCTCAGGGTCATGAGTTCAAGCCTCACGTTGGGCCTAGAGCTTACTTAAAAAAAAAACAACCCAGACCCATAGGCTGTATCACCTCTGGTGTCCTTATTAGCTCTGATATACTGACATTATCTTAGAGAGTGAGGGCTTGCCTAAGGCTTCAGGGCTCTGTCTAGCCCAGAGGGGCCTCTATTTGGGGGATTAGTAGGAGGATTTGTTCCCCGATATCCTTCGGCTGTCATTCGGTGGAGAGGAAAAGGCCCAATCTGTCTCCCCAGCTCCCTTTCTCTACTGCTGCCTTTTGCCCATGGGCCCTGATCTTGCTTCTCTCCATTCTCTTCTCAGCCCTTGGCTCTTTTGCCCTTTGATGACTTGAAGATCTCTGGGAAGCCACTGCTGTGTGCTGACTGAAGCCGGGGCAGAGTCTGGGGCCCGGAGACTCCATCTTTTCCCATCTGGAAGCTGGAGCTTTAGCTGCTGCAGCTTGGGCCCAGACAACGTGCCCTCCTGGTGTCCTGAGGACTGCTGAGGCCACAGCCAGGCCAGCACAGTCCTGAGCTGAGAGGAGGGATCACAAGTGAGAGAAGGCCAGTCTAGAAGGAAGACCTTCCTAGGTGGATGGAGATTCTTGAAGACTCCGAAGCCCCCGGTATCCTAGGCAAAGCCTGTTTGCCTCTAGAGAATGGCAGGGGCTCTTGTTTCTACCCACGTTGGGTCAGCCTGAAACTGCCAATCAGTAGGAAAACATGGACTCTCCCGAGTGAGGAGAGAAACTGAAATCAGCAAGCAGGACCCTGAGGGGTTCCATCTCACTGCTGTTGAGGACTCTTAAACACTGTTGTTTAAAGACTTCACACAGAAGGCCCTGAACTGAGCCTTTGGGGAAGGGGAAGTTTCAATAACATGACACTAAAACAGCAGAGACCTTTAAAAAGATCCCCCCTCCCAGAGTCATTTTGCGCACACACGTCTGTGTGCATGCATTGGGGATATTTAGGTAGGCCTGCCTTGTGACCTTATGGTAGAGACAAAGAGAAGGAAATTGCTCCCTGAGCAGGGTAGAACCTTCATAGGTGTGTGTGTGTGTGTGTGTGTGGTGGGAGTGGGGGGGAGCTAACAGTCCTCAGGCCTCTCTGTCCATCACAAACCCTTGCCCTTCGTGTGGAAACAGAGGGATAAAGAGGAGGTGAGATGCGAAGCCCCCCCCCCCAGGGGGGTTGCTCATCACTGCCTTAGAGGAGCCTGGAGAGAAGGGCTGGCCTACGGAGGGTAACACAAGGGAGCTATGGCTTTGTATGTTTTTCCTTTCATTCCACACGTTTGAAGCCCTTGTTAGGTGAATATGGTCAGTATGGGTATGGGGGAATAAACCAACACAATCTCTGGCCACTTGGATCTTATAGTCTAGTGAATGAGGCAGCCATTAAAATCATAAACAGCCAAATAAATATGTAATTACAAGTTGCAGTGGATTCTGTGAAGGAAGAGTAAAGTGAGGAGAACACGCGTTGGTGGATGGCCTTTGGGTAGTCAGGGGAGAGCTCTGAGGCCTGTCATCTCCAGGCGGGACAGAAGGGTGAGTAAGGATGTGGGGGGGAGCGTTCAAGGGAAGGCCTTCGGTGAATTAGAGGACCTGGCCAGTGGGACTCCGCAGAGGGTGAGTGAGGGGGCGAAGCAGAAGGGCCAGGTCATGCAGAGCCTCGAAGGTCATGAGTTGTTGGGGGACAGAACTGCAGCCCCACGGAGAAAGGAAGGAGAGATCTTCCTGTGAGAAAACGCGAAAGGGGTAAAGTGAGAGTGTTTGGGACGTAGAACCTCAGCGTCCCCCTCCCGAGATGGCAAGGGGGAGCACCACTACCTCCTGGGTTGGTTGTGAGGGCTCAGGGCGATGGCGAAGCGGGGTGGGGGTGCGCGGCCTGGGGGGGGAGGTCCCCGCCGCCCCGCCCCGCCCCGCCCCGCCCGGGGCAGCCAGGCGCCCGGCTCCCGAGCCGCGTCTCCCTCCGGGCCACGCGGGGGCGCTGTGGCCTGCCGGCGGCCCGGGGCGCTGCGTGGTCGCGGCTGGGGGCGGAGGGGCGGCCGCCGGGAGGGAGGCGGGAAGAGCAGGGTACTTCCGCTAGCCGCTACCTCACTGGCCGCTGCTGGAGGCGGCCGCGGAAGCGGAGGGAGCGCGCGGCCCGGGGACCGCATTCCCCGGCCCCCCTCCGCCCCACGCGGCCCGGACCATGGACGCCAGGTGGGGGGCTAGGGGAGCGGCGGGCCCACGTGACCGAGCCCCCGGGCCACGTGACTGCCGCTGTTGGGCACGGAGGGGCCGGGTGGGGTCCCAGCTCCTGCCGGCCCGCTGGGCCCAGAGCCGGCAGGGAGAGGGGGCGCGGCGTGGACTCGTGCTCCTGGCGAGGGTCCGGGAGTGTCGGGCGGAGGAGGTGGGAACTCTAGCGCTCCGGGATTCTGGAAGGCGGGCTGGGAGGAGGGGCGCCGCCTGTGGCCGGAGCGGCAGGAGAGCGCTAGAGGGAACAGAGGGAACCTGTGTAGTCAGAGGGGCGAATCCGCCCCCGGGAAGGGAGGGAGCCCTGCCTGGCCCGCGCCGGCCTCCGCTCCCTTCCCCCCGCCCCACCCCACCCCGGAGAGAGAGAGGCTCTTTGTCCGGGCTGGGCTGCAGCTGGGGGGGCGGGGAGACTCCGGGCCCTTCTCCAGTGTAGTCCCCTCTGGAGGGCCGAGTGGATGAGGAATTGCACCCTAATCCTTAACGTCCGCTGTCCCCGCAGGTGGTGGGCAGTGGTGGTGCTGGCTGCGCTCCCCTCCCTGGGGGCAGGTGGGGAAACTCCCGAAGTCCCTCCAGAGTCATGGTCGCAGCTATGGTTCTTCCGGTTTTTGGTGAATGCTGCTGGCTATGCCAGCTTTATGGTACCCGGCTACCTGATGGTGCAATACTTCAGGCGGAAGAACTACCTGGAGACAGGTGTGTGCGGAAAGGGTGGGTTAATGTGCAGGGTCCGTTTTATGAGTGCTCACCAGCAGTCCAAATAGGGATGTGGCTTGGAAAGGGAAGGAGGGAGACCTGCAGGCCTGACATCAGGGCAACTGGCTGCTCTGGGGAAGATGAGGTGCTGGGGAGAAGGTGAGATCTTGATCTTGTGTGCCTTTTTTAGGCAGGGGTCTCTGCTTCCCCCTGGTGAAAACTTGTGTGTTTGGCAATGAGCCCAAGTCCTCTGACGAGGTTCCTCTGGCTTCCCGGACGGAGCCGGCAGAGACCACTCCCACTTGGCAAGCCCTGAAGCTGCTCTTCTGCGCTGCGGGGCTCCAGGTAGGTAGGCAGGCGGGCTCCGCTTCTCTTCCTGGGTTGGGTCCCTGTGGACAGGGACTGCACGGAAGCAGAGTTTTCACCCTACCAGTCCCAAGGCTTTCCTGGCTAGTGTGTTATGTGGCCCCCTCCTCCCAGAGGCACACTGTGCCATCATCTTCTTAGAAGTGGTTGGAGGACATGCTGTCTTTTCCTTCTTTTCTCTTACTCTCTTTTCTGTGATGTCTTCTGTGCTCTTACTACACTTCCCCTTGTGGTGATGTGTCTCATATACTGTGAACCCACCGATCAAAGTTTGGGGAAGCCATTCAGCCTTCCCCCACTCCATGTAAGAAGGAGCAAAGATGCTGAGCTCTTGGCATGTTGGAAGTGGGCACAGCTAGTTCTACACATGCTGAACTAACAGGTGTCCCATCTTTTTACTCCCTGAATTGACTGAGCATAGATAGGAAGATACCTGGGATGGAGTCAGCTTTGACTTACCCTTGTGTGGGGCACGGACACAGGGTCTGGACAGGGTCTGGACAGTCTTAAAGCATTTGTTGTTGTGTTTCGCACACACTTATTCTCTCCAAGGTGAATGCAGGCTTGGAAGGGGAAAGGAAACTTCTAGTTACTGCAGAGGGACCAAAATATGTATGCTGTCTTTTAAATCATTTAGACATGTGAGAAAGAGGGAGGTTGTCAAGATGCTTTTTTGTCCACCTTTTCCTTCTCTGGCTTATCTTGTCCCCTGTCCTGGTCCTTCCCCATGCAGGTGTCCTACCTGACTTGGGGAGTGCTGCAGGAAAGAGTGATGACCCGCAGCTATGGGGCTACTGCCACGTCGCCAGGTGAGCGCTTCACAGACTCTCAGTTCCTGGTGCTCATGAACCGAGTTCTGGCACTGATCGTGGCCGGCCTCTACTGCATCCTCTGCAAGCAGCCCCGCCACGGGGCACCCATGTACCGGTACTCCTTTGCCAGCCTGTCCAATGTGCTTAGCAGCTGGTGTCAGTATGAAGCTCTCAAGTTTGTCAGCTTCCCCACCCAGGTGCTGGCCAAGGCCTCGAAGGTGATCCCCGTCATGCTGATGGGCAAGTTGGTGTCTCGGCGCAGCTATGAACACTGGGAGTACCTGACAGCTGGCCTCATCTCCATCGGGGTCAGCATGTTTCTGCTTTCCAGTGGCCCCGAGCCCCGCAGCTCCCCAGCCACCACGCTGTCAGGCCTCATCCTGCTGGCAGGCTACATCGCCTTTGACAGCTTCACCTCGAACTGGCAGGACGCCCTGTTTGCCTATAAGATGTCTTCGGTGCAGATGATGTTTGGGGTCAACCTCTTCTCCTGCCTCTTCACGGTGGGCTCCCTGCTGGAGCAGGGGGCCCTCCTGGAGGGAACCCGCTTCATGGGGCGACACAGTGAATTTGCTGCGCATGCCCTGCTGCTCTCTGTTTGCTCCGCGTGTGGCCAGCTCTTCATCTTCTACACCATCGGGCAGTTTGGCGCTGCCATCTTCACCATTATCATGACCCTCCGCCAGGCCTTTGCCATCCTCCTCTCCTGCCTCCTCTATGGCCACACTGTCACTGTGGTGGGGGGTCTGGGGGTGGCTGTGGTCTTTGCTGCCCTCCTGCTCAGAATCTATGCCCGGGGCCGTCTAAAGCAACGGGGAAAGAAGGCTGTGCCTGTCGAGTCTCCTGTGCAGAAAGTTTGAGGGGCCCGAGGCATGAAGCGGAACAGACCCTCACTGTACCAATTTTCCTCTCCTACTGTAACTTCTGAGGTGGTTGGCTCGAAGGCAGAACGCAGGTTTTTTCTGTTATCACAAACCAGCTCTGGAAGTTGGGGCTGAGTCCAAGAGGCAGCCTCCCCCTTTGCCTTAAGTCACCATTCTCTAGTAGGGATTTTTCTGAGGACCGTCCTCTGTGTGGAGGGGTGCGGAGAAGGCAGAGGCACCTGCCAAAGCCCCCACCCTTTCTAATTCCCTAAAGTTTTGCCCTGTGGGCTCCACCAACACCTCCTGTGCTTATCCCCTACCCTGAGTGGCCCACCCTTGTAGAACAGCCTCCCAGAGACCTACAGTCCTTACTCTGGTGAGAAAAGCACAAGTGTTGTAGGCTCCAAGTGCTGCTTTCCCAGGAGTCTGAAAGATGGGTGCTGTGCTGGAGGAGGGAGATGGGAGAGTCCTGCCCAGTGACACCACCGTCTGTGTTAGTGGATTCCTAGGCTCTGCTCCAAGAGTCAGTTGCAGGTTTTGGTACTCCAGAAATGTAATTTTGCTCTTATAATTTTATTTTATTAAATTAAATTGCTGCAATGGACTTAAGTCCTGTGTTTTGGCTCACTGAAGTGTATGCTTTAGGACAGGGACTGAACACTACATGGTAGTTGGAAGCTATCCTTTAGAGTCAATGTTGGGTGACTTCAAAAGTGCTTGCAGGTGACCTTCGCTTTCAATGTACCAGGAATACTTATCCTCGGAATGACAGCAGGTACAACTTGGGAAGCTAAAGAAACCCAAAGGGCAGCATGAGATCCACTTTACAAGGGACAACATAACTGTATAAAACTGTATCTTCTTTATTTTGCATACTTTAATCTCGAAACAAAATAAACAGGAGAAAAAAAAAAACACAATACACATCCAAACCCCTTGTCAAATAATCAGAAGGGATAAGGGCTTGAGGACCTTCTTTCCTGCCTAAAAGACAGGAGGAAGAAAAAAAAAAAAAACCACTAGACATCAGCAGAGGGAACCAGGTGAACAGGGCCACTCCGGGCTGCTGGGGAGTCATGGGGACACTATACAGAGGGCTCAAGGTCTGCACGTAGAACTAATCTACTTCTTCCATGCGAGAGGCATCCTCATCACCCTCAAGGGGGGGGATCTCATCAGGAACAGCAGCACTGGGTTCCTCTGCTGTCACTTCATCTTCATCAATGCCTAGAAGTAGAAAAAAAATGGCACATGAACTTTGATCCAAATACCATGAAGTTAAATTTGTCCCTGTGAGACCAGCTCCTCAGTTCCCTGTCACACTCTGGTTAACAAAGGTCTTACTCACCCAGGCCTAGCTTGATCATGCGGTAGATGCGGTTGGAGTGAGTCTGGGGATCCTCGAGTGAGAAGCCAGAAGAGAGCAGAGCTGTTTCAAACAGCAGCACCACCAGGTCCTTGACAGCCTTGTCGTTCTTGTCCGCCTCTGCCTTCTGCCGCAGCGTCTCCACAATGGGGTGGTCAGGGTTGATCTCCAGGTGCTTCTTGGCCATCATATAGCCCATTGTGGAGTTGTCCCGAAGGGCCTGGGCTTTCATGATCCGCTCCATGTTGGCCGTCCAGCCATAGGTGCTAGTCACAATGCAGCAGGGTGAAGACACTAGCCTGTTAGAGATGGTCACCTGTGGACAGTTACCAAAACCATGTTGGTTCTATTCTACAAGTTCTACTCTCCGTAGAAACTCACGAAAAGCTGCAATCTTTATACAACATTACAGAAATACCAACCTTAAACCTGTCTGGTAAAGACAAGGAAAGCTCTAAACCAATTAGGCTCCTTAAAACTACTCCTTGTGTAGTGCCAATTCTGACTGGAAGATTCTGAGGGAAGCAGCCCTAAAAGCACTTGTTTGCAAAATACACCCTAGTCCCAGAATTGTTTACCTTCTCAACCTTCTTATCCAAGATTTCTTTCATTAGTTTGCAGAGGTTCTCGAACTTGGCCTTGCTCTCCTCCATTTTCTTCTTCTCCTCTTCATCCTCAGGCAGCTCCAGGCCCTCCTTGGTAACTGAGACTAGACTCTTCCCATCAAACTCCTTGAGTTGCTGCACGCAGTACTCGTCAATAGGCTCTGTCATATACACTACCTCGAAGCCCCGCTTTCGCACTCGCTCCACAAAAGCAGAGTTGGCAACCTGCTCTTTGCTCTCACCTGTAGGGTTATTCAGAGTGACTCAGGTCAGAGTGCTGCCTTCTGCCAGTTCCCAGGGATTCCCAAAAGCCCTCCCTTCCCTCCTCACACCCGGAGAGGCTTTAATCAGATTCAGGCTGACGCACCGGTGATGTAATAGATGGACTTCTGGGTCTCCTTCATGCGGGACACATACTCTGAAAGAGAGGTCATCTCATCCCCAGACTGGGAGGTATGGTAACGCAGCAGCTCAGAAAGGCGGCGCCGGTTAGTAGAGTCCTCATGGATTCCAAGCTTCCAAAGTCCAAACAAAAGTTTTTTACTTATAATCTGTTACCCTCTGTGAATGAAAAATAACCCCCCGCCGTTAATTATTAAAAAAAACTTTCGGGGGAGGGGTATCTGTACCTTTAGGTTTTTAGAAAAAGCCTCATAGAATTTCTTATAGTTCTCCTTGTCTTCTGCCAGTTCAGAGAAGAGCTCAAGGCACTTCTTCACAATATTTTTGCGAATGACCTTCAAGATTTTGCTCTGCTGGAGCATTTCTCGGGAGATGTTCAGGGGCAGATCCTCAGAGTCAACCACACCACGGATGAAGTCTGCAATCAACCAGTGAGAACAGTTAAAAACAGGGCAGGGACACCTGGGTGGCTGAGTCCCTAAGTGTCTGCCTTTAGCTCCCGTCATGATCCTGGGGGTCCTGGGATTGAGCTCCTTGCTCAGCAGGGAACCTGCTTCTCCCTTCTGCCTACTCTGACAATCTTAAAAAAAAAAAAAAGAAAGAAAAAAAAAAGATAGGATTATCTAAATTCAGTAGGACTTATTTCTCACTGCACCCTCACTCCCCATGTTATCTACAATGAAGACATTTCCCCAAAAAAACAAGACCTCACTTTGAGAATGCTGAAAGGATTCCACAGGATTATTAACTACATGAGACCAACACCACACTCACTGAGATACTCTGGTATCAGTTCATCACAGCTGTCCATGATGAACACACGGCGAACGTAGAGTTTGATGTTGTTCTTTTTCTTCTTGTTCTCAAAGAGGTCAAAAGGAGCCCGACGGGGGATGAAAAGCAATGCCCTGAATTCCAGCTGACCTTCTACAGAGAAGTGCTGAAACAAATCCAAGATAAGTCAGTAGTATATTTCAAGAAAGAAATGTTTATCCCCAGGGCACCTGGCTCAGTGGGTTAAAGCCTCTGCCTTCAACTCAGGTCATGATCCCAGGGTCCTGGGATCAAGCCCCACATCGGGCTCTCTGCTCAGCAGGGAGCCTGCCTTCCCCCCTCTCTCTGCCTGCCTCTCTGCCTACTTGTGATCTCTGTCAAATAAATAAAATCTTAAAAAGAAAAGGAAAAAAAATTAGAAAATAAAATGTTTATCCCTACCATCACTTCATTAAATTATTTATTACAAAAATCTTAACAAATGTTCCTTTAAAAAAAAAAAAATCTTCCTGAAGATCAAGGATACAAGAGCTGCCCTTTGGACCGCTGTTGAACAAATTAAGCTTATACCCTGAATTAAGCTATGGCACAGCTATATAACCCTTAAATCAAGGGGAAAACAATCACATTAAGAACCCATCATGGAGGGGCGCCTGGGTGGCTCAGTGGTTTAAGCCGCTGCCTTCGGCTCAGGTCATGATCTCAGGGTCCTGGGATCGAGTCCCGCATCGGGCTCTCTGCTCAGCAGGGAGCCTGCTTCTCTCTCTCTCTGTCTGCCTCTCTACTTGTGATCTGTGAAAAAAAAAAATAAAATCTTTAAAAAAAAAAAAAAAAAAAAAGAACCCATCATGGAGATAAAGTGAGGTCTTTGGGAAGGATGTCCTTTCTTCACCCTGGAAGGGTCATCACTAAGTGAATGGACATGGCTCCATGGCATTCAGTTCCCACCTACCAACCAGCTGGGCAAGTTCTACTTGTCTACTACCAGCCTTCTGCCTGCTCTTACTGAGTCAACATGCAAGGGTTCTCACCTTGACTGCCAAGTGGTCTTCCCAGTCATTAGTAAGGCTCTTATAAAACTCTCCATATTCCTCCTGAGTAATGTCATCAGGGTTTCTGGTCCAAATGGGCTTGGTCTTGTTTAGTTCTTCCTGATCAATGTATTTCTCTTTAATCTTCTTTGTTTTCTTTTTCTTGTCTTTCCCACTATCATCCTCCTCATCTGAGCCCACATCTTCAATCTTGGGCTTCTCCTCATCATCTTTATCTTCTTCCTCCTTCTCCCCTTTCTCCTCCTCTGCCTCATCATCACTGATTTCTTTCTCTCGTTCCTTCTCCAACTGAAAATACAAAAAGGTTTCACAACATGAAACACCAAGGAACCAAAGACTATCCCATTCTCCTAAGCAGCAGACATCAAACATGTGAGGATTACTAGTCTACACTCACATAAAGGGTGATGGGGTAACCTATGAACTGCGAATGCTTCTTCACCACTTCTTTGACCCGTCTCTCCTCTAAATATTCTGTCTGGTCTTCTTTAAGATGGAGAATCACTTTGGTACCCCGGCCAATGGGCTCACCTAGAAAAAACCATTCACAATACAGCATGAAGACACAAAATTAAGTGCAGAATTATAATAAAAAAGATCTACAGAGAACATGCTTAACATTTCTATTACAGATTTCCCCAGAACTCTAACCCAAACAAGAAAGTCAACTTACCATGGTCTGCTCGCACAGTGAAGGAGCCCCCAGCAGAAGACTCCCAGGCATACTGCTCATCATCATTGTGCTTTGTGATAACCACCACCTTCTCTGCCACCAGGTAGGCAGAATAAAAGCCAACGCCAAATTGTCCAATCATGGAGATGTCTGCACCAGCCTGCCAAAGAGTTTTAAAGTCAAACACACACACAGACACACACAAAACTACAGCAAACCAAAGAATATCCACAATAATGAATGGTGCATGTCTAGCTAAAATACCACATACCTGAAGAGCCTCCATGAATGCTTTAGTTCCGGACTTGGCAATTGTTCCCAAATTATTTATCAGATCGGCTTTGGTCATGCCAATGCCTGTATCCACTAGAGTCAGGGTGCGTTCCTGGGGGTTGGGGATGATGTCAATTTTCAGCTCTTTACCGCTGTCCAACTTGGAAGGGTCTGTCAAGCTCTCATAGCGGATCTTGTCCAAGGCCTAAAAATACAAATTTCAATATTATGTTCCTGCTTCCTAAAGCTCATCTTCAACCAAAAAAGAACTTTTTCACTTCCAAATAGCCTCAGTTCTGATTACCACCCCAACCTCGTGCTTAAGCACAATAATTAGTTACAATATTCCATCTAACCCCAGAGAGTAAAGCCAACTTTTTAAAAATCAGAATTTTTAACCCCTCCAACAGCAGCCCCATAAAATGCCAAACCACCTTTCTCCCATTCCCTGAGCATTG